CTACCACTGGGCATGCGCAACTTCAAAGCCAAGGCATCCTCTTTGCCCTGAAGGAGGAGGGGACAGTGCGGCCCACGGCTCTCAAGTGAGAACGGGGCAGGGCGGAACCAGGATGTCACAGCCCCAACTTCTGCATGGAACAGCATGTGGTGAGCATCTTGTGAGCAAAGGCGTAAAACCCGCAGCCTACAGCAATCAATCCTGTGAACATTCAGTGCGTAAAATGCCTAATCCTGGATAATCGACACTTAACCTGTCGTAAAATTGCACAAGAGACAAATCTTTCTGTAAGAACGATGAACACAATGATGACAAAGTGAAACAGGCTGTCTTAGAATGGTTCAGATGTACTGACAAATCTTTCTATGCTGAAGCTTTCCAGGCATTAGTTAAATGCTGTGATAAGTGTATAAATGTAGTAAGGGAGTATAAATGCAGTTTCCACTCCTTGAAGTTTGTTTTTATTTTATAAACTCAAAAGTCCCAGTTTGACTTGAACCCCCCTCGTATAATGTGTGCAGTGCACACAGGCCCAAAGAGGTATGCAATCCACTGTGCACCAACTGCAAAGATTTTGGATGTGCTCCACACTGTTTACCAGCACTTACAGATTGCCCTGGTGCAATATGCAGAGTGGCAGTAGTATGCGGGTTACTGGAATGCTCTCTGCATTCCAGCACCTGGTGTTAGAAGAAGCCTCTGTCCTGCATCCATTTGGACAGTGGCAGAGGGGAAGAAGGGTGCAAGCTACTTTGTGGTGCATGGTGTCCTTTTGGACAACTCACATCTCAATCAGAGCTGTTTCTGATTCCTGGAAGTGACTTCCAGAGTGAAAAGAGTGTTACAATAGTGTCAGCATGCTCTGGCATGCACAGTCACTATGGGACTGTAGGACAGGAAAGTGGTGAATTATGTTTCTTCACAGAGTGTCTCACCAGGCTACCAGGGAATATAAGGGGTACCTTCCAGCCAACCACTGACCACCTACAATAGAGAAGGGGGGAGGGATAATTGTTCCATCCACTGATCACCAATGCTAAGGGAGGTTATTGTTGACCACTGGGGTGGTCTGAATGCTTAATAAATGTTGATAAATAGTCACTGACTGTATTATAAAATTCTTCTTTAAAGCTGAACTCCAGGAATTCACTTTGTAAAACAAGATGCATGCCACCTCTGGATTTATCTCTTTTATTTACATCTAGTAGTTTTATGTATCTCTAGGAGGATAGCTATGGCTACACTCCATGGCGCTGAAAGGAGAGACACTGTCTTCCCCCCTCCCACCACCGCACTAGCATGGTGGTTATAAGAGGGGGTTAAGATTGGGGGGACAAACTCAATGGTTGGAGGAGGTGATGGGTGTCAGATGGGGTGTTTAGGAGAGTGGATGGGGGGGGCTTAGTAGTTAGAGGAAGGGTTTGGGATGTGTTGCATTCGCAGTGGTTGGTACAGAGAGTAGGGATTAGGGGAGGGTTTGGGAATGTGGGTCAGGCACAGTGATTTGGGGAGGGGAGAGTTGGATGTCAGGCATAATGGTTAGGGGGCATAGCTGGGAAATGAGAACAGATGTGGTGGTTAGGGAGGGGATTGGGACTAAGGTGGTCAGGTGTGGTGGGTAGAGAAGAATGAGGATATTGGGGTGGACAGGAAAGGGTTGGGAAGGTTTAGTGCAGTGGTTAGGGGAGCAGATGAGGTTCAGAAACAGTGGCTAGAAGGGGGAGTGGGGATGGGGTTAAGTGAGGGGGTTGGTGAAGGGGGTGGGTGTGGGATGGGGGGGTCATGTGTAGTAGTGAGGAAAGGGGGGTAGAGATCAGATTCAGTGGATAAGGAAGGGATGAGAAAGGGGGTCAGGTGCGGTAGTATGGGGAGGGAATAAAATGCAGTGGTTTAGATACAAATAAAATTGTAGCGTATTACCACTGTGCCTCTTTATGCGTCTTACTATGTGGTGTTATGTTCACTACACAATTAAATATTTATGTGCTCAATAAAGATCCTTTTATTACTGCAATAATATCCAATAGAACAATCTCATGCACTTTCATATATTATATACAACAGATTAACAAAAATAACTTATTGTCTATAACACCACAAACATGTTGTGTAAATCATGTAAAAATGTCCCATCAACTAAATTACTTCAATTGTGCCTTCTCCAAAGTTGTGAATAAGACGCATTCTTTAGTCTTTCGCATGCATCAATTTCACAAGTGAGTCCCACCACCAGTCATACTGTAATGTCACCTGAACATGTAGACCTGTTATTACAAACAATAGGTCAACTGCACCTTCCCCTTTAAGGGGGTCTATTTCCAGGTATCCTCCTGGTAACTTTCCTTTCTAGAGATCTCACCACTGGTTCCTGTATAAATATATACACTCACAAAATAGCAGGGCATAACTTTAGAAGCTTACCACGATAACTGGGTACAGTTGTCCCCTTAAGGCTTAAACCTCAGCATCATCTAGTAGCAGCAATCTGGCGGCACTTCCTGGTTGACGCAATGACATCATAGACCCCATCTTATCTCTGGGTCTCAGTAGTCCCGGACATGTGGGTTCAATCAGTAGTTTCAAAGTGGTACATAGAGTTCCAAATCCTACCCCCTCCCGACTTTCTTGTATCAATCCTGCCAAAATCTATCCATAGACCTGAAAATTTTTTAAAGTGCCCAGAACGATCTCTGTCCCAGGGAGTAGTTGTTCCAGTACATCTAAAGGATAGGTTCAAAAGATTCTCCTTTACAGTAAAAAGCCAATGAGGGTGTTCATCCTATCCTTGAACTAAAATCCATAAACAAACTCCTTCAAATTTCACATGGAATTCACTAGGTCAATCATTGCCTCTCTGAGACAAATGAAATACTTGGCATGCATAGATATCCAAAATGCCTACTTGTCATTTCCAGTTTGTCACTTCCATTTGGCCTATCTTCTGCACCCAGAATGATTACTAAAGTGCTGGCACCCCTTGTGACCCTACTAAGAACAAAGGGCATCCAGGTCATAGGGTATCTTGTTGACCTTCTGAAGGACTCATCTCCCTTCCAACTATTTACAAACGTTCAAAAGACAATTCAGATGCTTTCAGGCCTTTGATTGATCAACTTCCAAAAATCAGTTCTCCAACAGTCTCTTTACCTAGAATGCTGGGCCTAATTGTAGACTTAGCTCAGGCAAAAGTCTGTTTTCTAAAAAAAAAAAAACCTACTCTCTCAGACTGTCGTTGATTAGCTGCATCATCGGCTACAGTAGCTGAGGAATGATAGCTGTAAAACAGGAAGTGACAAAATCATAGTCTCTTCCAGGTACATTATTTACAGAGAAAATTAAGGAACAGGTGTTCCTTGATCTCCTCTGTATCTAACTATTCCAGTCATTTACCACAGTCCCAGCTCCCCAGAGGAATGGGGAAGCCCAGGAACCACCACGGGTGGGGAGGGACTTGGGGGCCTTTCTCACTACCATAAAAGTGAACATGTGATTATGAAGCTGCAGCCAAGAGCTGGTTTCAACCACTTCAAGTACATATTATTTTAAAATGTCCAAAGGACCTGAAGTGGTTAAATACACTTGTCATTGGAGCAATCTGTGGGCTGTCAGGGCCAAACTCCTGAAAATGATCTTCTGTTATGAGAACCCCCTGGCTTCAGTACTTTTTGATGAATTGATCCATAAAGTCAAACGTCTTTATCTTAAAATGTTCTGGGTAAATGAAGCAGAAAGTATTAAATCTAGTGGGTAAGTCAGTCAAGTAGCATTTTCAACAGGAGAGATTAGTAATAACAGCCTCCATATTTCTCTCATGACAAGGCTCCTTTAAAGTGGAACTTTACTCGCAAAATATACCAACCAACCTCCTTATTCGCAACGTACACTAAGATCTGCATGCTCAGCTCTGTGTACAATGTCACATGAAATGAATAAACTCCCACGCGTGTGTGAAAGTTATATCACCCCAGCCCAGCCAATCAAGATGGATGAAAATCCAAATCCAGAAAAAGACCATCTGAAGATGTCAGTTGCTGGCGAGTGAGCTCATGGATACATCACTGAAGTGGAGGTGAGTATAATTCTGCTTTAATGTAGAAATCAGTAACCAATTAGACAGTATACAAGCCGGAAGGCGGTAAAGAAGGGGATGTTTTTTTCCACCAGCTGATATTTTTTTTAGGTTTGCTGTTTTCCTAGTACTTTGATTACCTATCCCTGAATTAAATTACATTGCTCCTAAATGTAATATAAACTGTTATGTCGGAAATTTGGCTCACAATAATATACGTTTGTAACCTGTACTGGGAAAGTATGGCAAACAACATTGCAAAACTCTGTTTCTGAAATTACTATTTCCCTAACTATCAAGCACAATACATAAATCATTGACCTAGAGGAAATATATAGATTAGAAGCGCTGACTTTTTTGATCTGCATGCTTGTCCCAGATTAGTGTCTCAGAATGTGTTAGGTTCTCCAGGCAACTCACATTTTAAGAAGTAATGATAGCCTTCACATTTGGATCCTAAATTCTAGTAGCTCTTTAATTGGTGGAATTCTGTGCTGTAATCTGTTTCTCCACACCAAAACTAACTAGTGCTGAGAGCATTGAGCTCCTGGGGCATGGTGTTTTATTTGACTTGTTAGGGACAGTGGCATCAGTTTGAGATGATTTTGAGATCATTCAGAATTCATTAAAGGGCGCATCTGACCTGCAGTTGGCTTCCCTCTAACCTGTTTTTGACCCACTTCAGGTTTTGCATTCCCATAGACTTGTATAGGATTGCAAAACACGTTTGAAGTGAACAAAAGCCTGTCAACATAGACCCTTGGGAATTGCTCAGGTCTGAATGTATTTCAATGTTTTAATTTAAGGTGGAACTCCTCATACTCACCTTTTTGTATAAACTATAAAGCTCTTTCTGTACTAATATTTAATCATCTCCCACAGTATAGACCCAGATTTGGTTATATCCATGATGGAGCTCCCTTTGCTGGAATGGCAGGACTGTGCTCGTAGGAAGTGGTCACAACTTCCACAATGTGTGAAAAAGCAAAGTTTTCTGCAACCTCAGGTCTTATGGACAGCTTCATGGCTTGTTGGTCACAGTTTCAGTAAGTAATTATCTAGGATACCAAAAGATAGCTGTAATTGTGAACACATGCCAGTATCACTTAATGGGTGACATAATGTTTTCAACATGCTTCCCTGACTTTTATGTGCTTGTTTATTGGCCGTGTAGTATTTTTCTAATGAGTTTCATGGTTAAAGCTCATCATTAGTTATTGAAAGTTCTCATCTGTATTAATTATTTGCTCCATTGTCTGCTTGTTTCTTGAACAGCTGTTTCTGCCTATAAATCAAGAGGATATATTTTTATAATTTTTGTAACAATAGATTGTTTATATTGTATAATAATTGTGTATATTATAAGAAGCAAGGAATCATTAGTTGTAGCATTGTTAGCAGTGTCATGCCCATATATTTCAGCCTTCTAATAACTGTGCTGGTCCAGAGGAAGGCAACACAAATACACAAAGCAACAACAGTCTTAGATTAGCCAGGGGTTAAATAATTATTGGCAGATAGTCAAGAAACTACCAATTTACTACAGCACAGGAACTGAAAGCAAAAACCCTGAACCCATGAAGAAAAACTAGATATATTGCAGCTTACTAGTCTTCAGATGTGGTGGCTGCATTTTTTTTTGTAGGATTTTTTTATATCATATTATAATATATTATATTTGCCTGGTGATCCTGCCAGTTGCACATTTGTTGTCCTTTACTGTATATTTTGGAGGAGCCGAGTTGTTACACTAGGAAAGAAACTGTTGTAGAACTATTGAACAGCTGCCCATTTCCTCATCTCAATGAATTGTTCATTACTCCTCTGAGAGAGATGGGAACAACATTAACAGCCAGAAAAGGTACAGCAAGATCGGGAGTTCAAAATTAAAAAAAATAGGAAGGAATTTTACACTTTAACAGACCAAAATGTAGCTCTTCCATTTTAGGGTTTTGGGTTTTATGTCACAGGTATTGAATTAAAATTCAATAAGGTTTGGTCAGTAAAGGTTTCTTTTAGGTGAAGTCCAAATCTTATGTTTGTGCTATGATTTAGATCCCTCACATATCACAGCCCCCTTCACATAACATTCCTGTCAGGAATGGACTGGCCAGCAATGGTGGGACTCGCCTGCCTTATGGGCTGCAGTACCAGGGCTGGCCAGCGGGTGCTCCCAGCAATCAGAGACTCAACCTTGCAGCCAGCTAAAACACCTGAAACTGCTTACACTGGTGTATTTAAGGGATGGCCAGACCTGCAGACTCTGCCTTGGTGTGTGTTTCTCCTGGGCCCTGTATCCTGTTCCTGCTCCCTGTTCCTGTCCCTGTCTGATTCTCTGCTGACCCTGCTCTGATCCCTGGCTTGTCTGACCATTCTCCTGCTCCTGATCCCTGGCTTGTGACCCCGACCATTCTCCGCTTGCTCCCCCTGTACATACTTGCCCGATTGATATTGACCCGGCCTGCCTGACGACGCTTGCATTGTATGTACTGTTATCTGTGGGTGGTTGGTTTGGTTTGTTTGCACTGTGTTATGTTTTAGTATTGCACTGCGTTTATGTTTGTATTGTTAGTGTCAATAAATTATATTGTTTATAACATATCTGAAGCCTGCGTTTCCCTGCGTCAGTCACACACCTCTGGTCATACCCAGGAGCCCTGACATTACACCAAGGCCAATCCTGACCAGAAGTGGCTGCACAGGGAAGCCATCTTGGCTTGTTGCTGGGAAGGATGGATCATGATGAGGTTGTGTATTTATATCTGCAAGTGTTTGATGACAGAGAGTATGCTTATCAAACTCTGAAGGAGTATCCCCGGGATGAACTGCTAGAATGTATACGGCTCGCTCATGTTCTAGTAGATCAGGGCACAGAATTCTCTGAGGTGCAGCCATTGATTCAGATTTGTGCGGAGTTGGTTTCATCTGGTACCCCCGAATGCAGGGATGAATTTTTGCCGCCATTTAGTGCCGACCAGGTAGAGTCCCTGGTATGGTTATTAGAGGATGATGTGGATTGCTTCTTGGAGCATTATGCTGCATGTTCACCACAGGTACTAAGAGATTGTATAAACGCAGTGCAGTCTTTGGTCAGACAGGCTTTGTGTAAGCTCAGCTTTGTTCAACCCATACTGCATACATGGACAGACTTGTTGCACCCAGCCTCAGTCAGCCTACAAAAACCCAGTCCTGCTTCTAATCTATTTCCTCAAAGCTCTATTCCTGCATTCCCAACAGCTCTTCCTGCCCTGCTATCTACCGCATGTCAGTACCCTGTTCCCACTCACTGCACCTATCCTGCCTTTAACCCTGTAAAAAAGCCCTTTGTAGCAACTGCTCCCTCCTCTGTTCCATCCTCCAGCTTTTCTCTGTCTCCAGCTGCTCCATTCGTTTGCAGACCTGCGTTTACTTGCAGTGCTCCAGTAGTTAAAACCAGAAAAAAGCGAAAATTCTTTCCAACCAATACCATCCTGCCAGTATCCAAACCGGTGAGCCTGCCGTCTGAGAACCTGCCTTCCGTGGTTCAGCCTGAATCCTCTACTCAGCCTGAATCCTCTACTCAGCCTGAATCCTCTACTCAGCCTGATGCCTGTACGCAGCCTGATGCCTGTACTCAGCCTGATGCCTCTATTCAGCCTGATGCCTCTACTCAGCCTGATGCCTCTACTCAGCCTGAAGGCTCTACTCAGCCTGAAGCCTCTACTCAGCCTGAAGCCTCTACTCAGCCTGAAGCCTCTACTCAGCCTGATGCCTCTACTCAGCCTGAAGCCTCTACTCAGCCTGAAGCCTCTACTCAGCCTGAAGCCTCTACTCAGCCTGAAGCCTCTATTCAGCCTGATGCCTCTACTCAGCCGGATGCCTGCATTCAGCCTGATGCCTCTACCCAGCATGATGAACTGATCCAGCCTGACGATCCTATTAGGCCAGTTGACTCGATGCCCGCTGTTGATCCAGATGATCCGGTACCTGACCCGGCACCCGCCGCTCCGCTTGGGGGCCCGATGCCTGTCGCCCCACCTGGGGGCCTGATGCCTGTCGCCCCGCCTGGGGGCCCGGTGCCTGCTGCTTCACCTGGTAATCTCCCGATGTGCCTCTGCCCGGAGTCCAGCCCGATGTGCCTCTGCCCGGAGTCCAGCCCGATGTGCCTCTGCCCGGAGTCCAGCCCGATGTGCCTCTGCCCGGAGTCCAGCCCGATGTGCCTCGGCCCGGAGTCCAGCCCGATGTGCCTCGGCCCGGAGTCCAGCCCGATGTGCCTCTGCCCGGAGTCCAGCCCGATGTGCCTCTGCCCGGAGTCCAGCCCGATGTGCCTCTGCCCGGAGTCCAGCCCGATGTGCCTCTGCCCGGAGTCCAGCCCGATGTGCCTCTGCCCGGAGTCCAGCCCGATGTGCCCCTGCCCGGTGTGCCGCTGCCCGGAGTCCTGCCCGGTGTGCCAGTCTTTGATATCCCGCCAGTTACTAGACCCGGGCGGTGGAACGTTTTTTGCCCAGCTCCTTGAGGGGGGGGTACTGTCAGGAATGGACTGGCCAGCAATGGTGGGACTCGCCTGCCTTATGGGCTGCAGTACCAGGGCTGGCCAGCGGGTGCTCCCAGCAATCAGAGACTCTACCTTGCAGCCAGCTAAAACACCTGAAACTGCTTACACTGGTGTATTTAAGGGATGGCCAGACCTGCAGAATCTTCCTTGGTGTGTGTTTCTCCTGGGCCCTGTATCCTGTTCCTGCTCCCTGTTCCTGTCCCTGTCCCTGTCTGATTCTCTGCTGACCCTGCTCTGATCCCTGGCTTGTCTGACCATTCTCCTGCTCCTGATCCCTGGCTTGTGACCCCGACCATTCTCCGCTTGCTCCCCCTGTACATACCTGCCCGATTGATATTGACCCGGCGTGACGACGCTTGCATTGTATGTACTGTTATCTGTGGGTGGTTGGTTTGGTTTGTTTGCACTGTGTTATGTTTTAGTATTGCACTGCGTTTATGTTTGTATTGTTAGTGTCAATAAATTATATTGTTTATAACATATCTGAAGCCTGTGTTTCCCTGCGTCAGTCACACACCTCTGGTCATACCCGGGAGCCCTGACAATTCCTTCATTCACACCACAGCCCCTCTTCACATCCCAGTAGGCCATACCCTCACTTCACAGCCCTGTTTACATCAGTTTCCTTAGTCCCCTCTTCAGATCGCAACCCTCCTTGACACTACAGCCCCCACTTCACACCACAGTCCGTGTCTGGATGGAGGACAGCATCTTCCCAATGTTGAAAAGTACATTGCTAGGATCGACCAGCGGGGAGAGTGAGGGTGACGGGATGGAGGACGGTAGAGGAACTTGGCTTGACGGCCAGCTGCTGAGTGGCACCCAGGGCATGTGCCATAGTTGCCACATAAGCCAATGTGACTGGTATTCCTTTATCAGAAATGCATCCCAGTCCAGACAGAACTGTCACTCTATCCAGGCCACAGTCTGCATTCAGTGATGCCTGGTTTAGATACAGTTTTGAGTTCAGGAGCAACCCTAGATTTTAATGTTGTTTATACAATGATTACCTTTGACTCAATCAGATATTCTAACTAGTGGCCAACTACTGACAAAACTAATCATACAGTACAGGACACAGGCTGGATGTTTTCAGCTCCTGTGTTATAGGCTGTTACCTTCAGATGATTGGACAAAGGTTTCCTGGGCATGCCCCCATATTCCTATAACCCTTTCTCACTCCATGAGTCCTCAGTTTTTTTTTATTGCTAGTTTCCTTAACCTCCCTGGCGGTATTCCCAAGATTAGCGCTGGGTAAAGTTTCAGTACCAGAAGCGGTAACCCCGAGCTACACTCGGGCTTATCATGCGGTGCTGCTCCGGGATCTATTCTTCACTTGCCTTGTCCTGCGCTCCCGCGATGTCCCTCCTGCAGTGTCCCCTGTAATGTCCTCTGGCGGATGCCGGCATCTGTCTTCTGGGTTCCGTTCCTTGCGACGTCGGGACGTATGGGGGACGGAACTGGCGGGAAATCTGAAATTTGTAAAAGTGACATTAATTAAATTTACTAAAATCACATAGTAAAACATTACTGTATCAAAGCATTTCACATACATTTTGTCCCTAGTGCTCTGTGCCCTGCCTGAATTTTTACTTTTTCTTTCTGCCTGGAAACTAAGAAATGTCCATGGCATCCAAAAAGTGTCCCTTTAGGTCAAAAGTGGTTTTAGACCAGCTAGAGAACAGCGATAGTAAATTAGAACTACTTGCAGAATTGAGTGATGATTCGTGGGGAAATTCGTCATCAGACACTGAAAACAATTTTGTGACTTTGCTCAGTGATGTGCGAACTTGGCGCTATATTTCAAATTTCAGTGTTTTTGGTTTGATTATATTATTGAATTAAATGTATTATTATATTATTTTTTAGGATTATTTATTAAATTATAATTTAAGATTTCGTGTTTCAAATTGTATCATACCCGAGATGTCTACTAGACTCTTGTTCAGACAAAATTCAGTGAGTTATTTTTAAAAATTACAGGCCTACAATAAAAAAAATACATATTTCCTTGCAAAAAAAATGTACCGCTTTGAGCACAGAAATATGGACATAATCAAACCGCTAGGGAGGCTACGTGATGGACCTTTTCTTCCCTAATGAGAAGTTTTCTAGGCTTAACCAGTTGTTTAAATTCAGATTCTCTAATAAACTCTTCACTGATTTCTACTATACTCCTATCCTGCTGCCTTCTTCCTGTCCCGCTGCCCCCCTCCTGTCCAGCTACTCCCCTCATCCTGCTGCCCGCTCCTGTCACGCTGCCCCTCCACCAGGCTCCAACTTTTTTAGCTGGCTCCTAGATTCAAAGCAAATTTGTCAAGCCCTGTCTTAGATTACAATACACCTTGCTAAAACGCTGAGGACTTATGGGGTTGGCTTATAGTAGTACACTGTGGGGCATGCCCAGCAAAGCTTCTGTCCAATCCCCTGAAGGTAGCAGCCTATAACCCAGGGTCTATGCATATCCAACCTGTGTCTTTTAGTGTATTCCCAAATACAGAATTTACATGTATGTAAAAATCCAGTTTTTGTTGTTTTGTTTTGTTTTTTTCTAAGCTTTGATATAGTAATCACTGCTGAATTTTTTCTTTTCTTTGTCTTCATTGCGGAGATCTTCCTTTTTTGAAGAAGAAATGTAGCATAACCATCACCACTGAAACAGGTAGTGAGGAGGATCTCCTAAACAGAACACAGGCAGATGTAAAAATTTCACAGAGCTCTTAACCCTTCTCTAGTTTTTGTGAGGCATTTGTTGTTGTCTGTGCTTTAGTGTTGTCTGACCCCTAATTTCTTTTCCTTGTATCAAGGGGAGAAAGAAATGAGTAGAAATGACCTTTGTGTGGCCATAGACAACAAAAAAAACCTAATTGACGTTAATAAAAAACATCTTAGGAGTTGGGCTTTAAGAAAGGCAAGTCATTATGTGGCAGCCAGCCATGCATGCATAATCTAGCCACCAGATAACCTTTCTAAAAAAACACTTTATACATAATTTGCAAGTTTGTGGCTATGAAGGAGGGAAAGGGGTTGAACTAAGTAACAGATTATAAAAAATCATAAATGTTGCGCTATGTGTGAAAGAATCAAAATAATTTAAATACACTTATATAAATGTGAAAACAGCCATAAATATAAATTAAAAACAGATTCCTGTATAAAGACAGTAACATGTATAGTCCATATACAGGACAATAAAGTCCACGTGAGTAGTGACTTCTACAAATACTTGAATAAAGGATTTTTCGTTCCTTGAATATAATGTTAATAATGTGAATAATTTTTCATCCAATCAATCACCAACATGAGCGAACCACCACCATGTGAATAAATGGAGGCTTACCAGATGGAAAGACCCCTTAACTATAGGGGGTTGTAGTCAGCTTTTTGTATTGATGAGTTATCATCCAGACTTCCATAAGCTGTCAAGACACAAGATCTCTCAAATGGTATCAGGACCCAGAATCCGTAGACATCAATGCACTATCCCCATTGCAGTGTCAGGATAATGTCACATACAATATGCCTCTTATAGTGCAATACAATTGATGTACTTTTTTATTTGCGCAAATAAAATCCTACTTACAGATTTACAGAGGAATAGAAGCATTAAAAAAAAAAAGCTTCCAAGATGGCAGACAACGCGATGATGTCAGAGGGAGGCTCCACCCGACACATTTCGTCTTCAGAAGACTTCTTCTGGGGATAGGGAGCTGTCCTCCGTCACCGCACTTAAATAGAAGAAAATCAAGCCTCGTTTTGGAACACAACCAGCCTCAATCATATACATGAACCGGAAGATGTCACATCCAGGACCAAGCTTCAATATCATGTAAATACCATTCCCATCGTTTTTGAATACATCCGGACTGAATCCTCAATTTGGGATAAAAACTAATCCAATCATTACAAGGAGCTGGATCAGATGTTAAATCCAGTCACCAAACCAGATCAAACCCCACTCCAGATTTGAAAGTACAAATTTCATAATAATGCCCAAATAGGGGGGAATAATATAAATATATTCATAAAAAGGAAATCAAACATTATTGCTGTTACCAAATTGAAGTAAGTGAATTTTCCGAAATGGAAAGCACAATTCATTGATATATTTTACTAACTCCGACGCCATCTAGTGTTCCACATTAAAATGAAAACGAAATAAAATATAAATGTATAAAACATGATATCATAAGCCATAATCCTAATCGCATGGATACTTCACCATAAAACTAGAATGCTAAATTTAAAATAACATCTAAAAATATAATAAATGTAAAAAATAATAAAATAAAATAACCCCCCCCAAAAAAAAAACAAAAAAAACATAAATCATCATACCCTACCATATCCCACAAGGAGGGATGGAATGAGTAAGGGATAACGGAAAAATAGAACAGAGTATCAAATATTAAATAAAAATTAATATCCATCAGGCATTATTAATAAATGTGTTAATATCCCAATCCACATTCATTCCATAGGGTTCATAACACCTAACATTGTGTATCCACTTAGTTTAGAGCCTATAAATTTCCCTCCTCGTAGCACTCCCTCTCCAATGTGGATTGTATCTATCTATTCCTAAAAATAATGTACTAGCAGGGTCCTTATTATGGAATTTGGCATAGTGTCTGGAGACACTGCGCCTTTTAAAACCTCTCTTAATATTCCCCACATGTTCCCCCAATCTGATTTGGAGGATGCTGGTGATCCTTCCGATATATTGAAGGCCACACGGGCACTGTAAAAGATAGACTACAGTAGAGGAGGTACAAGTAACGAAGGATGAAATAGAGTGATTCCTAGACATGGTGGTAGATACACAGAACGTAATGCCCTTCCGTGAACATGTATTATTTGGCATATTACGCACTTTCTGCATCTATAAAAACCTTTCAAGTCCTGAAAAAAGTAGTGCGGCATGGGGGATCATATACATTTAGGGCAATCTTATTATTACGATGGAACCCCATGAAATATGACCTGCGGTTTGGGTGGTAACACACACCCCAGTATTCCATTGTTGTGTAAAATATGCCAATGTTTTTTTTTAATTTTTTTAATAGAATAGTGTTGTACTGCATAAGTAGTAATAAAGGGGCAAACAAACTAGCTAGTATCCTTGTCTTTCTAAAATAAGATCCTTCCTATCTAGCCTTTGAACTAAATCCAAATTTCTAAGCTCGAAACTAAGTGGATACACAATGTTAGGTACTATGAACCCTGTGGAATGAATGTGGATTGGGATAGTAACGCATTTAATTATTATAATTGATTTAATATTTGATGCTCCGTTATCCCTTACTGATTCCATCCCCCCTGTGGGATATGGCGGGGTATATTGATTTATATGTTGTTGTTTTGTTTTTTGGGGGGGGGGGGGGCAGTCTTATTTCATTTTATTCATTTTTTTAAATTTATTATATTTTAGATATTACTTTAAATTTAGCATTATAGTTTTATAGGTGAAGTATTAATGCGATTAGGATTATGGCTTATGATATCATGTTTTATACATTTATATTTTTAGTTTTCATTTTAATGTGGAACACAAGATGGCGTCGGAGTTGGTAAAATATATCAATGAATTGTGCTTTCCATTTTGGAACATTCACTTACTTCAATTTGGTAACAGCAATAATGTTTGTTTGATTTCCTTTTCATTAATATATTTATATTATTCCCCCCTATTTGGGCATTATCATGAAATTTGTACTTTCAAATCCGGAGTGGGGTCTGGTTTACTCCAGCCCACTGCCGGGAATGTCTGTGACTGGATTTAACATCTGATCCAGCTCCTTGTAATGATTGGATTCGTTTTTATCCCAAATTGAGGTTTAAGTCCGGATGTATTCGAAAACAATGGGAATGGTATTTACATTGTATTGAGGCTTGGTCCCGGATGTGACATAATATGGTTCCTGTATATGATTGAGACTGGTTGTGTTCCAAAACGAGGCTTGATTTTCTTCTATTTAAGCGCAGTGAAGGAGGGCGGCTTCCTAGCCTCGGAAGACGTCTTTTGATGACGAAACGTGTCAGGCAGAGCCTCTCTCTGACGTCATCGTGTTGTCCACCATCTTGGAAGTGGTTTTAATTTTAAATGCTTTTATTCCTCTGTAAACCTGTAAGTAGGATTTTATTTGCGCAAATAAAGGTATATTGATTGTATTGCACTATGAGAGGCATGCTTTATTTTCTATGACATTATCCTGACACTGCAGTGGGGATGGTGCATTGATGTCTGCGGATTCTGGGTTCTCATACGATTTGAGAGTTCTTGACAGCTTATAGAAGTCTGGATGATAACTCATCAATACAAAAAGCTGATTACGACCCCCTGTAGTTAAGGGGTCTTTCCATCTGGTAAGCCTCCATTTATTCACATGGTGGTGGTTCGCTCACGTTGGTGATTGATTGGATAAAAAAGAATTCACATTATATTCAAGGAACGAAAAAAAATCCTTTATACAAGTATTTGTTGAAGTCACTACTCACGTGAACTTTATTGTCCTGTATATGGACTATACATGTTACTGTCTTTATACAGGAATCTGTTTTTAATTTATATTTATGGCTGTTTTCACATTTATATAAGTGTATTTAATTATTTTGATTCTTTCACACATAGCGCAACATTTATGATTTTTTATTGTTTAAATTAAGAGAGGATGTCCTCCTAAAGTGTTTGCAGCTTTGTATACGGTGGAATTGGGGAATTTGCACAGTTTAATTTGTTTGTGAAGTAACAGATTATGTCTGGGAAAAGCAATAATAGTTGGAAAACTCAACCCAGCAAACAACTTTGTTGCCCCTAGAACTCCTGGCTAGACTTGCCTGGTACATGGCAGGAAGGACCTACAAGTATGCCTAAATTATACTGTAATCAGCCAATGCCTATTTATTGCAGAAAGTATGAACAACTACTACCTCAAAAAGCTCACACCACACAAAAATACAAATCGAACAGTGCTGTAATATCCCCAAAATCAACTAAAATGTCTTATACCTGATTATGGCAGACGCTTCAAAAAACACTGGACTGAAATGAATTTGTGTTAACACAACTATGTCATTATATCATTTATAATTGGCTATTGACCATAATTGCAGCTTGAAGTCACTTGTTTATAACTAAGAAACTGATACTGTGAAGCTCCCTGGGTAAACCTTCCCTCCTACAGAATGTCGTAAGTGATGGTTGGCTATTAACTTTTAATTACTACGGCAGAAAAGGGATTTGCAAATGAGAAACAGTATGAATATTTTTATATGCAGAAAGCAAAATTATTACAAAGCTCAGGTTGTAGGGATAATGTGGGGATGACCTGCTTGCATTACCGACTGCGTTTGGTAGAAGGAATAAGCTTGCGTACTGCTAAATTATTCTTGTATGCCAGATTCACTCCCATCGTCCTTAACCGCTTCAGATCCTAAACAGGTTTTATAGAATTGTCACTGCTTCTGAACCCTTTGCGTTCAAGGAATTCCATCAACTCTGAACCTGTGTAATATCATCAGGTCTGGATTTGTAAATTCATATTTCACTTGTATTTATAAGCCCACTGTGGCTTATAAGAAAGATACTGCAGGGCATACCCCATTACTTTTATTTAGCCTAGGAAATCTTGCAGAAGATTTCTCTCTGAGTACCTAGACAAGTTTCTTATCAGTGAAGTCTGCATCAGGGTAAGGAATTGTAGACCTCTTTCTCTTTCTTGTCAGTACATGCTTGTTAAAAGCTTGAGACTGTGTCAGTGGATGGAGTTCGCAGTTGGCCGAAAAAAAATAACCATGTCTCAATTATAGGATTTCTCTGTGACAGGTTCACTTTACAGAGATAGCAGTTCAGTTTGTGAAAGATGTTCATAGTGAAGTATGAGATAGGGTCAGAAGGCTGGCAGAAAGGTAAAGCCAGCAAGACACAAATTCTCTGCTAGTTTGATCTCTGATTGGCTGAACTGTGCTTTACTCTAGATCTACAGTCCTGCAATTTTAAATTATAAGATAAAGAGCCAGCAATCTACTTTGTAATGGAGATTGACTTATACAGGTCAGTACGTTTCCATACAGAGCTCACAATCGTTTTTTATCTGTCACAAATAGATCAAGAGCAAAATCAGCTGAGTCTAGAATTAAGAGGAGTATAAAGTATTCTTTTCTATTCAGTACACAGTGGGGAGGAATGGTTTTTAGATACCGTGAAGAACAGCCTTTATAAATGGTAATGCTTATGTCAAAGTCAAGCAGAGGGGATTGGTTTTGGAAGGAGTGGGGGACAGAGTATGTGAATGCACACAGTGCAAGCACCTGTCTTTAATTTCTCTCCACAGGCAGGAAGAAGAGGAGTTACTAGAAAAACTGTGTTGTGATCAAAATGTTGGGAAAGAACCTCGTGCTGTGCTATTCTACAAGGAAGAGGGAAATAAGAGGTTTGGAAGAAAACAGTACACAGCTGCAGCAGTTTTATATTCCAAGGTACAAACCGCAGAAAGTGGGTCTGAAATTTTTCTTTGCTAATAAGCTGATCACTCCAGAAAACATTGTGCTGTATTATAAGACATGCTTTCAGGGTTTGTACTCGCTAGCCCACATGGCAAAAGTCAACCTTTTTACTATGAGGGCAGCTGGCAATCTCTGGCCTGCCTGGGGGCAGTGTGATATCAATTTCAGCGCATCATTCTGTATACTTTTTTTTTTTTAATTATTATTAAAGTGGAACTAAAGGCAAAACTTTTTTTTTTTTCCGCATTTGGCAGATGAATGTTGAGCAGAGCAGGGAGGTAGTGCGAGGATTCCTAAGGTGCAAGTAAGACAGGCTGGAGCTTGCACACAGACCTGGCAGCAGGACCTGGATAGGAGGGGTGGCATATAGAGGAACTGATGCCCTCCACTTTCCACCTCCAGCTGCTGAATGCCTGCAGGAGGGAGAGGAGGAGAAGCAGGCATTCAGCGGCTGAAGGAGTAAAGTGGAGGGAATCAGTTCCTCTATATGCCATCCCCCCTATCCAGGTGTACAAGGGGCAACACAGGCCCCCTGGAGCATGGGGCCAGGTCGCTATAGCGACCCCTATAGTTATGCGTCTCTTTCCCACAACCCTGGCCTGTGGTTGTGGCGGTCTGTGGGGGCTTATCGGAATTTGGAAGCCCCCGTGTTAAAGATCCAGGCCCCCCACATGTGAATGAGTAGGGGTACATAGTACCCCTATTCATTCACCAAAAAAAGGTGTGGTGTACATAAAAAAGGAGGCAGTTTTTGACAAGTCCTTTATTTTATAAAATAAAAAAATAAATGTCCCCTGAAGTAGATCCGGCGTCAATCACAATGAACGCTGCCGTCGACCCAAAACTGTATTGAAAGACCACATGGCCCTTTACCAAGCTGTCAGTCAAAGATGAAGAATAAAGTGCTTCAAATTCTGTCTTTACAGGGTAATACCAATGTTTTTCCATACCTAAGAAATGTATTCTACAACATGCTCTTGCATTAAAAAAAATATAAATAATTAAAAAAAAAAAAGATAAAACTTTTGAAGCACACTTGGCCTTATGGATGACTTTTGGTAATTTTACCATTTATAGAAAAGAAGGATCAGATGTTATCTACCAACATTAATTGGCCTGCTGGTTCTGCTGGGTAATTGCTGTTAGGTTAAAATCCCGCTTGCTTAGGGAGAAGGTACATTTTTAATTAATGTGTGCCAAAACATTTTGTTGTATCTGAAATAAAAATATAACATTAGTTTATTAAAAGGCTTTTTGGGTAAGAGTTTCTCAGCGTCCTCAAGGCATCTTTGCTCATTCTGAGTATGTGTCCTGCAGGCTATATCCCATGGCAGTCCTGGCACTGAGGAAATTGCAGTATGTTTTGCCAATCGATCAGCAGTTCTCTTTCACCTTGGCCATTACACAGTGAGTATTGTTTACTTCTTTGCTGTCAGTCTGGAGGTTTGTTCTGAGCTAGATTTCAATGTAAATCATCATTTCGGTGAACCCCATGCTGTAGATCTCAGTTTTTCTTAGCCCTGTCATTTTTCTTATTTCCTTGCTCAAACATGCTGTTGTACACCGTGATGTCTCCCTCATTCATCTGTCATTTCTCCAGCCAAGCCTTTCAGCGCTCTAACTATTTTTTAATTATGAAGACTTTTAGAAGTATATAAATAGCGTGTTCACAAACTGCAGGTAGCATGGTAATTGAATTATTTTTCCAGTGAACTTTTCTACTTAAAGGTGCCGTTCCTGTGACAAAGTAGACGGCTTAATTGTGGGCAGCTTACTGTTCTGCTTCCCAAATGCATTAGCTACTATATCTGATCTAGAACAGCTGGATGTAATTTTGTGCAAATTGACTTTATGGATCCTTATAATGCTCCACAATTACTGTGTCCCTCGGGTTAGAGAAAGATTGCAATAAAAAAATATTGTTTGCTCTGCATGAAAAGTATTTTATAACTTTTCAGTTATATGAGGTGAAGGAATGGACTTTCATAGAATTTATTGTATACACAGCCATATTTGCTGTTCTTGCAACCAAGTATACAGTATGTCTGGGCATGAAAAAAAAAACATATATAGTACATTTCTGCAATACATACACTTTTCTCCATGTTTTGCATCCCTGCCAATACAGAAAAATAACTGTTGATTCTGCCAGAAATTCAGTGAGCTCATATCTTCCTATAGAAAGCTGACAACACTGGCTCTGCTGAACCGAAATCCCACCCGTATGGAAGAAAAATATATTTGAAATATATTTTAAAAATATTCTTCCCAAATATATTGACATACACGTGTACCTCGGGTAACACAATTTTCGGTTTACGAATGAAAATTCATTGAAAATAATGCCTCGGTTTACAATTTTGTTTTCGCAATAAGAAGTGTATGTCGGTGCCGATTTTTAAATGCAATTGCCGGCTTTTTTTTTTCTTTGCTATACCTCACAGAGCTGTCACTTTCCCTGGAAGCTTTGTTTCTTTTAAGAAACTAAAAGGAAACATTGTTTCTTTTAACTTGGGGAAATAAACTAAAAATTAACTTTCTCTTTTAGCTGTGGGGAAAGTGACTGCTGGATCTCTGAGATATAGTGAAAAAAAAAAAGTGGTAATTTAAAAACCGACACCATAATAAATAAAAAAAAAAAAAACAACGTGGGGTCCCCCCTCCCATCCATACCAAGCCCTTCGGGTCTGGCATGGATTTTGAAGGGAACTCCCACACCAAAAAAACCCTTATACGACCCTTATACGAGCATGCAGCCCGGCAGGTCAGGAAAGGGGGCGGGGGGACAAGCCCCCCCTCCTGAACCATACCAGGCCACATGCCCTCAACATGGGGGGGTGCTTTGGGGCAGGGGGCTGATCGGAATCTGGAAGTCCCCTTTAACAAGGGGGCCCTCAGATCCTGGTCCCCCCCCAATGTGAATGAGTATGGGGTACACGGTCCCGATATTCATTCACAAAAAAACAAAAAGTGTAGTGTGAAAAAAGACTTGACACGGTCTTTGACAAGTCCTTTACTAAAGAAAAAATAAAACTAAAAGAATGTCCCCCGCAGTCGATTCAACATCAATCATGATGCCCTCCGCCATCCCGGAAAAAATAATTTAAAAAAGCGAGCGCCTCCCCCTCCTGAACCATACCAGGCCACATGCCCTCAACATAGGGGGGTGCTCCCCCCCCTCCCCACAAAGCACCTTGTCACCATGTTGATGGGGACAAGGGCCTCTTCCCCACAACCCTGGCCAGTGGTTGTGGGGTCCCCAGATCCCGCCCCCCCCCCATGTGAATAAGTATGGGGTACACAGTCCCGATACTCATTCACGAAAAGCAAAAGGTGTACTGTGAAAAAAGACAGAACACGGTCTTTGACAAGTCCTTTTATTAAAAGAAAAAACTAAAAGAATGTCCCTGTCAGTAGATCCAACGTCAATCACGATGCCCAGCGCCGCCGCGTTCCCGCAAAAAAAGAATTTTAAAAAAAGCTCTGCTTCCGATGATGGTTTCCAGCTGTCTGCCTGCTCCGGTGGTTTGACAGTTCTTAAATTGGTAAGGGGCGGGGCCACACAGGCACATCGGGGCAGGGTCACTCGGGTGATGTCCCCGGATGCATTGCCCCTAAATTATTTAAGAACTGTCAATCCACCAGAGCAGGCAGACGGCTGGAAGCCATCATCGGAAGCGGAGCTTTTTTTTTTTATTATTATTTTTTTGGGGGACGGCGGCGGGCATCATGGTTGATGTTGGATCTACTGCGGGGGACATTCTTTTAGTTTTTTCTTTTAATAAAGGACTTGTTAAAGACCGTGTCCTGTCTTTTTTCACACTACACTTTTTGTTTTTTTTTGTGAATGAGTATCGGGACCATGTACCCCATACTCATTCACATTGAGGGGGGCCGGGATCCGAGGGCCCCCTTGTTAAAGGGGGGCTTCCAGATTCTGATCAGCCCCCTGCCCGCACCACCAGCCAGGGTTGTCCCCATCAACATTGGAACAAGGTGCTTTGAGGGGGAGCCCCCCCTGCCCCAAAGCACCCCCCCCATGTTGAGGGCATGTGGCCTGGTATGGTTCAGGAGGGGGGGATGCTCGCTCGCCCCCCTCCCCCCCTTTCCTGACCTGTCGGGCTGCATGCTCATATAAGGGTCTGCTATGGATTTTGTGGGGGATCCCCACGCCATTTTATTTATTTATTTTCTTTTTAATTTTGGCGTGGGAGTTCCCTTTAAAAAAATCCATACCAGACCCAAACGGCTTGGTATGAATGGGAGCGGGGACCCCATGCAGTTTTTATTTATTATTTTTTTACATTCAGCTGTCTGTGGGGCACCTTTCTGACAGCTGAAACATTAACACACGGTTGTCACTACTAAAATACCGCATGACTTGATAAAATAACTCATGCGGTTAATAGTACTTACTTTTTTCTGACCTCAGGAATGGATTATTTGGTTTTCAATGCATTCTTATGGGAAGCAGCGTTTCGGTTTACAAATCTTTTTCTATACGAAAAGTCCTGCAGAACAAATTACATTCATAAACCGAGGTATGCCTGTATATTTGAAATACTACAATTTTGGCCATATTCAATATATTTCAATAAATATATATATATACACCTTATTTTTAGCTCCATAAGACGTACCTGATCATAAGACACACCTAGGTTTTTTAGAGGAGGAAAACAAGAAAAAAATATTCTGAACCAATGGACTGCAGACATAGTACAGGAAATGACCAGAGACTGCAGACATAGTACAGGAAATGACCAGAGACTGCGGACATAGTACAGGAGATAACCAGAGACTGCAGACATAGTACAGGAGATGACCAGAGACTGCAGACATAGTACAGGAGATGACCGGAGACTGCGGACATAGTACAGGAGGTGACCGGAGACTGCGGACATAGTACAGGAGGTGACCGGAGACTGCGGACATAGTACAGGAGGTGATCGGAGACTACGGACATAGTACAGGAGGTGATCGGAGACTGCGGACATAGTACAGGAGGTGACCGGAGACTGCGGACATAGTACAGGAGGTGACCGGAGACTGCGGACATAGTACAGGAGATGACTGCGGACCTTTGGGGAGCGGAAGGGGGGGGCAGCGAGTATCCGAATTTGACAGGTACCCACTCCCACTTCCACAGAGTTGTCCTCCCTCCCCATCTTCTGGGACACGTGACAGGTCCCAGAAGACTGCCAGACCATTCACAAAGTGCAGCGCTTCTCGCACATGCGCAGTGGGCACCCGGCGCCAGGGAGAGAAGATGGTGAGGAGACCGCTGGACCGAGGAACAGGTTCTGCTGCACAGAAGAGCCGAGTGGCCGGCCCGGTATTGTAGCACGGCTGTGGCGGGAATTCCAGGCCAGAACCTCCATATTCGCTCCATAAGAAGCACAGATACTTTCCCCATTTTTTGGGAGGAAAAAAGTGCATCTTATGGAGCGAAAAATACGGTGTATGTGCATGTTGAAATGCTTTTTTTTTTTATTACAAAATATATGAAAAATATTTTTTAATTCAAATATACTCTATGTTTTTAAAGATACAAATCTACATTTTTGGAATGCATTTACTTTTTTTTATATGTTAAAAAAAATCTGAAGAATATACTTAAAAAAAAATATTTTTTCATATACTTTGTAATATATACAAAATGCATTTCAACATGCAGTGTCATTTATTTCAGTAATGCAACTTAAAAGGTGAAACTAATATATGAGATAGACTCATTACATGCAAAGCAAGATAGTTCAAGCTGTGATTTGTCATAATTGTGATGATTATGGCTTACAGCTCATGAAAACCCCAAATCCACAATCTCAGAAAATTAGAATATTACATGCAATCAATAAAACAAGGATTGTACATAGAACAATATCGGATCTCTGAAAAGTATAAGCATGCATATGTACTCAGTACTTGGTTTGGGCCCCTTTTGCAGCAATTACTGCCTCAATGCGGCGTGGCATGGAAGCTATCAGCCTGTGGCACTGCTGAGGTGTTATGGAAGACCAGGATGCTTCAATAGCGGCCTTCAGCTCTTCTGCATTGTTCGGTCTCATGTCTCTCATCTTTCTCTTGGCAATGCCCCATAGATTCTCTATGGGGTTCAGGTCAGGCGAGTTTGCTGGCCAATCAAGCACAGTAATCCCACGGTCATTGAACCAGGTTTTGGTGCTTTTGGCAGTGTGGGCAGGTGCCAAGTCCTGCTGGAAAATGAAGTCAGCATCCCCATAAAGCTTGTCTGTGGAAGGAAGCATGAAGTGCTCCAAAATCTCCTGGTAGACGGCTGCGTTGACCCTGGACTTAATGAAGCACAGTGGACCAACACCAGCAGATGACCTGGCTCCCCAAATCAACACAGACTGTGGAAACTTCACACTGGACTTCAAGCATCTTGC